CGTGGAGTTCAGTATGGTCTGTATTGATTAGTAGGGGGTTTGTTGGGAGTCCTGAAAGGGGAGTTTCCTAGCTCTGCCCGGAGATGTTTCTGCATGCAATTCACATGCAAGGGTGGGCAGGTCTTAAGACACCAGCTCCTCCTAACCAAGGCAGTCACATCCACCCACTCCCAGCTGATGCCAGCACTCAAAGGCTGGGCATGAAGGTGTGTGTCTAGATCTTGTACCTGTACAACATCAGTGCCTCGAAAAAGGCAGGGGAGACAGGAGAGGACTGGAGGGAGAGCCAGCTACTGGCTCCCCAATTGTCTGGCTCCAAAGCAGTTCTGCCCCCCGCCAACCTTGCCTGCCTCACTTCTGGGACATCACAAGAGCCTTTCCCTTAGCCTTAGGTTTTGCTACAAAAATCACAAGGGATGGGGTATGTGCGCTGATCTAGCAACCCTGGCTATATCAGTGGTGGTTGGTGTCCATTGTGGGTTAGTGATGGGGCAGAAAGCATCGCAGTCAGCAATGGTGGGGAGTACTCTGCCAAGCTCAGACAAAAGTGGATATTCACACATAGACAAATCTATGTGGACAGGCCTGCAGCTAGCTTTGCATTAGCTACCTCAACACCCATCCCATTCATTCACTGCACAGCTCAGCTAAAGAGTGATAAAATACACCTTATTCCCCAAATCCGAAAACTTCTCCACCTGCTGCTTCTTCCTTCTGGGTCTGGTTTCAAAGCTGGACTGCCAGTTTGCTCATTCACATGCATAGTCTCATTTCCCCTCCTCTCATGCACCCCTAGAGTCCCTGGATGAAAAAGATCTGATACCTGCTCACCCTCCCCTCTCCAGCAGCCTTTTCATATTGGGGGGGGGGGGAGACTGGCTGGAGATTTCCTGGATGCCAGGCCACTGCTCTGCCAACAAACCAACTTGATTCCCATAAAGAGGGCACCCTCTAATTCATGTAACTATAAGGGGGCATCTTGGGTTTTATGCAGAAATATCTGCAAGGCACTTTCTGTCTATTAGGTAGGGGGTGATAACTTGAAGGCGTCTTTCTGTAATTGCCCTGTGCTTCTAACAAACAGTGTCTCTATGGCTCCAGTCTTCTCTGTGTGGGAGTGTGGCATAGCAGTTAGACACCCAGCTACCCTAGTGATCTGTTGTCTTTCAGAGGAAAGAGGTTTTTTTTTCCACCCTTCAGATGGAGAGAAAAACATGGAGGGACCAAGAGCAGGCAGCAAAGAAGGGGTTACAAGCCGCCAGCGCTCCTTCCCGACTCTTGATTACACTCCTCTTTGGCTACATTCTGAGGTAGTTCCAGGGAACTCTATGTGACATGCAGTCTGGATCCACGCCCATCCCTTTTAGCCACAAATTTGCTAGGAAGGAGTTACAGCTATTGGCAGGGAAAAAAAGACGGCCTTTCATTACCACAGGGTACTTTGAAGACTAGTCCAAAAGGCCCATTCAAGTGGGAAGAACCTGGTAAGCACAGCCTTGTAATTGCTTGTCAATTGACCACTTCCTAACGGAACCATTTGACTTTATGAGATACATTTTCAAGCACAATGCCTGTCATTTTAACAAATTGGGTGTCTGTCTCTCAGCCGCAGTCCTCGGAGTCTGGTTTCTCACCAGTGGTCAGAACCTGCAGCAGATGTGCATGCAGAGAAAAGCCCCTACACAGCACAACCTGTTGGTAGACAGGGATCTGGGCCTCCTTCGCCTTGTGGAATTGCTGTCCAAAGTTTGGACTACTGGAGAAGTTTTGTGGTTTCCTTACCACAAAAGTGTCCCAAAGCACAATGTTTTACTTTTCTTATCGGCCCTAGGAAATCTCATCAGGATAGCAGCTGTGGCCCCTGCTGTACTATGGTCAGAAGGCTTCTTGGAAGCAGACGGAGTTTCAAGGAGCGATTGTGTGGTGTTTCAAAGCTATTTATGCATAACATAAATGTCATCTGCTAAGAGCATTTGTACCTCTTCTTGGTATCAGTTCACTAGAACAATAAGCTGCTGGCCAGTTTCGGGCACCCCAGGAGTCCGCCTGGCCTGCAGGGTCCTCTGCAGAAGTCATCTGGTTCATCCTAGGAAGACTGGATAAGCACGTTCAACCTCAGAGGACAATCATCCAGATACTCTCCAAGACGTCCTGGCCTGCTCCCTCAATGGATCAAAACCAGTGTTTGGAGACCTTGCTTTTCTCATTTCAAACTATGCCTATTCTGCAGCCAGGATGGCCACTGGCAGGAGGTGACGGCAGGAGATTCTTGGGGTGGGGTAGGCACGCTCTAGGCCAAATAAAGAGTATCTTTTCCAAGCTCTAGGCTGGCTGTCTGTCTACACGCATACAGACAAATCTCCCTATACTGTATATACGCAAATAGCTGGCTGGATAGCTCAGGGGTTTAGGTATCTGGCTCAGAGCCAAAGGTTGCTGCTCCTGGGAGAACAGCTAGCCTTGGACAAGCTGCACTGTCCCAGAAGTGGCCCCAGACAAAGGGAAGGGTAAACCGCTTTCTACCTGAATACTTTCTACCTGGAAAACCCTGAAAAAGCTGGTCCGAAGTCAGAATTGACTCGATGGCGCATGATGATTATGACATAGATACAGTGGTGCCTCGCAAGACGATGTTAATTTGTTCTGCAAAAATCGCTGTCTTGCAAAAAAAATCATCTTGCGAGGTTCCCTATGGGAACCTCGCAAGACGAATGAAATTTATTCGTCTTGAGAAGCATCGGTCTTGGGGGGGGAAGTCTTGCGAAGCATGGTCATAGAAAAAACCGTCTTGCGAGGCACCATAGGGATCGCTAAAACCAATTGTCTTGCAGGTTTTTCATCCCCTGAGGCAATTGTCTTGAGAGGCACCACTGTATATGAATTTCTGAACTTTTGAAAATCTTCTAAAAAGCCATCTAAAGCTAGTGACATTCTATCAAGCAGCAGTGAGCACACCAGTTTGAATGGTGCACCATGCAAACTTTGAAGAGCGTAAAGACTGCAACAGAGAACATGCAGCAATGACAACTCCACCCCATTGCCTTCGTGGCTTCTTGGGTCTCCTTCCTCTCTCGCCTGCTGCCTCTGATCTCTAGATGTGAGGGAATTCTGAAGTTCGCAGCTTGGCTCCATAAAAAGGGTGGATGTAGACAGACAGCAGCCAAGCTGTAACTTAACCATCATGGTTACAAAAGATCCCCTTACAGATCTTTTGTAAAACTGTGTGTTTATCCACCCATGGCTTAAAATCCTGTCCCATCTCTTCAGAACTACATCATCTTGAATGACAAGGTCAATACACTCCACCTTCCACAAGTCTCAGGTATCTTTTCCAACAAACTAAGTCGGATGTCAGTTGAGAAAATGCCACAGGCCCAGCCTCACAGTGGTGAGGTCATAAGCAACCTTGGACCATGAAGGACCAACAGGCAGCCATCACAAGGTAGGACAGAAGTTGCCCTGAAGCAGGTGTTCCTCTCTCCCCCCCCCTGCTGTCGGGAGTCAGAATTGCACAAGGCCAGAAGTTGCCCTGAAGCAGGTGTTCCTCTGCCCCCTGCTGTCGGGTGTCAGGATTGCACAAGGTGAAGAAAGAATGCTGCCAGCAAGCAAAAGGTGATGATGATTATAAAAGTCAGAGACAGGTTATTTCCCTGTGACGGCTGTCAAAAGAGAATGATACAGCAGCATGATACATATCCTAGGGATGTGGTTCTAGGACAGATCTGTATGTGAGGTGTATTTTATACACTCAACCTGAAAGGATCCCCAATGCCCCCCCCACGTACCACACCCCGAATGACCGATGAAGTCACATGAACTGCAGGGATGAGAACAACTAAAATGGAAACTGACTCAGAGCCATCCCTAATCTACCCTCCCTGCTTGCTTAAGGGAAACAAAAGGATAAAAGAATCATGGAAAAAAAACAAGCACTGAAACAGACCAATACAAAACCTGAACTAATCTGAGCTGTTTGCAGGGTCGGCCAGATTAAGGCAGTAAATTTAAACTATTTGCCTTGAGGCATTATCCACTGGGAAATTCTCCAGCACCAGCTCCAAACAGAAATCTCAGATGAGGCCTCTTCCCTAGCATGGCTGTTGTTAATCCGGGTGACGCTTTCATAGAGCTTTGCTCTGGATTGTCCTCCCTGGGTCACATTGGACTCCCCCTCAAAATGCGCCCAGACAAGTCTCCGGTCTTGGCCTCTGGCCCTTTTCGAAACAGATCAGGTTGGGGTACACGTGCCCTTCCAAGTGTGGCTGCAAACGGCAGCTCCCATCAGTCGTCAACAACGTAGGTGATGGTGAAGGACAATGGGAGCTGCAGCCCCACCTTCCTCATCTCTAATGTATATGGCCCAGACCTGCTAGATCTCTTCCCCCCCCCCGCCCGCATCCGCGTCTCTTTCATGTCCAACCATCTTCATGGGTGCCTCTGAGAACAGCATGGTCGGAAATACACATGCAGAGTCTGGCTCCGAATCATTGCATGGCCCTTGATAAATAATTGGATGGGAAAGGAGGAACAAGGCAGACAGAGGATGATGATGGCTTCACTTGAAATTCCCAGCCTATACCACCTTTGCTCTGCAAGAACCCATTTTTAATACATTGTCAGAAAAGGGCTTTGGGGAGGCTGTCCCCAAATCTAGACCCCAAGGGCGCGGTTCTCCAATTGGAAGTCCCTAAATCAGTGAAGCTCTTAACGAAGGAGGCCAACCTGGTCCACTGAGCTGTAAAAAGCAGGAAGGCCTCTCGGCATTTATATCTGCCTAGCCAAGTGAGTGGCTTCATACAGCCTGCTAAGCACAGGCGCTGCTGAATCGCACCGTTTTTCAAACTTTGGCACCTGAAGGGAGCTCTTGGACTAGAAGGCACGTAGTCCCCTTACAGTGAACTGCGGATCATCATAACCGGTTCTCATGAAGTTCCCAATCCAGGTCTAGAAATTTCTGACAGACACAAAAATAGATTGAATGGAGGCACCAATGAGCCTTTTCACTCCTTTTATTGTTGTCAAGGGCGAGGGAGGCAAGGGCAGGAGTCGAAGGTGCTATGAGGGATGAAGCAGAAAGGCAATCTGGATGTCAGCAAGGGGGGGGGGCGGGGAGGGGCAGAGCAGGGCAAGAGTCTAGCATGGGTGAATGGATGGTGGGCAGACAGACACTCTGGGGGTGGAAAGGGACCCCTGGAGATGGGTGGACGGAGAAGGACAGGTTGCCCTGCAGGTTCCAAGGATTGAGGTAACATGGGGCAGGTCTGGCGTGTTTCATGCCAGTTGGGGGGAAGGGTAGGCCCCCTTCTCCCCCCTACACGCCAGTTTCTCTATTGCTCTGAACATCAATCACAGTTTTGTAGAGGAGCAGAAGGAGAAGGGAGAATAATGGGTAGCAGTGCATCGGCCATGCCATGGAAGACCTTCCTCCCTGGGCCGCAGGGTGTTATTCACAGCCTTGCATTGTACTTCTGCTTGGGTAGATGGGAAACTGCAGGCCGCATTGTGTCTGTGTGGGTGGGTGGGTGTGTATATGTATGTGTGTGCATGTATGCATGTGTAAAGAGAGCGAGAGAGAAATGGACTCTATTGTTGGATTAATCAACACATGCAAATGCACATATGCACACGCACACACAAACACATACAAACCCGCACACACACAGAGTCCACTGACAGGTGCCAACTAGGATGTGTGCCAGGGAATTTAACAAGCATCTGGGATTTTATGCACTCTGGGTGGTGCTGGGCTTTAGAAGGGATGGGGCTGCTTAAAATCTCCAGGAAAAAGTATCACCTGGCCTCTTGGTTCATGTCCCACCCGCTCAAGAAAGGCGTGCAGAGATGGCAACCCAACTCTGTATGCACAGTAAAAAGGGGGCGGACGGCAAGGGAGAGAGAGATGTTGTGCTACCATGGCAACAGCACAAATAAGCCACAGGCAGAAAGAGATGCAAGTGGCTCTTAAGGAGAGAGATCCCCACCCTTCTCCACCAAGGAGCAGCCCCTGAGCCCTCAGATCACGGGCAGGCTTGGCGACGAGGCCACCCTTTCTTCAGCTCAGAGGAGGAAGGCTTCTGGATTCCTCCGGATGGGAAAAGCGCGGCTGAATGGGTTATGTCTTCTGTCTGCCGTCTAGTGCAGGAAGAATGGGAGGGAACAGGAAATGGGAGCACAGTACTTGCTCTGTCAGTCTCTTGTCGAGGTGCAGCAGTGAGAGGGCCTCCCCCCCCATGATGGGGAGGGGGCTCTGGTTGCATGGAAGCGCAGTGAGGGCGGGACCAGCACAGGGAAGGGCCAGTGAGGAAACCCAGGGGGGAGATATGTACATGGAGGTGCCGGCCAGCATTATTGCAGTAGGGGCTCTTTTTTCCAGAGGCCCTGTCTTCTGTCCTGCACACACATACACATACACACCCCACCTCTCAGTGCAAGTGGACAATGGCTTGTATGAGTCGGGGGGGGGAGACTCCCCCTTCCTTAGCTCTGGGATGAAAAGAAATGGCTTGCTGATCAGTCCCTGAGGTACCAGAACTGCCTCCCCCTTTCGATGCTCCACAGAGTCCCGGGGAGGCCATGCCTCTCCCCAACCTTTCGTACCTCGGGAGATGGGACTGACACACACATGTGCACGCACACACGCACAGACAGAGACACACAGGGAAACACAGCTCACCCCAACCCATGGGGGGAACCCAGCACTTGTGCGGATTTGGCTGGGGCCCCAGTTGGGGGTTGAGAGCCGGCCTGCGTACGTGTGTGTGTGTGTGTGTCTGTGGAAGGGTGGGATTGTCCCTTTTGCTCTTCTCAGGAAAATAACTCCACTTCCAGTTAAAAAGAAAAAAAAAGAAGAGAGGGAGGAGAGTAAGATGCTCCCACTGGATGGGACTGGACGCCGTGTGACCTTGCTGGGACTGGTTGCTAGTTGCCAGGGGGGGCGGTTCCAGTGGGGCTAAGAGTCCCAGGACTATGGCAGGCAGGCGGGTGGGCGGTCTGCATCAGTACGGTGAGAAGAGGATGGGTCCGTGTGCAGTTCGGATGGGTCCCGGGGCCGGACGCAGGAGCGGGTGCGTCAGAGGTGGGCCCTGCAACAGGGGTGGCGTCGGAGCTGGTCGAAGCGTCAGCGGCGTGGAAGCGGCGGCCGCCATGGCAGCTGCTACAGCCAGAGGATTGGGCAATAATCCAGCTGCCAGTGACTTGGGAAGATCCTTGGGGAAGGCCAGAGAGCCCTGAAAACACACAAAGAGAGAGAGAGAGAGAGAAAGAGAGAGAGAGAAAGAGAGGGGCAGAAGATCAGAAATAAGCAAAAGAGGGCTGTGAGCAATCACCTAGGAAATCCAGATTCGAATCCGAACTCAGCTAGGAAATTCAGCGGATGTGTCATCATGAACTACAGTTAAAACCAGATTACCAAAAAGTACAGTCTGATAAATATAAAAAAGTCTACCCACAAACAAAAGTTTACCTTACTGGAATGAAAACTTGGCCTCCCTATTCAGCTTGCTCAGGTTTGTCCACAGCTTACGGCAGTGCCAGCTACCAAAGCCTGTCTAACCATAGTGCCATGCAATACTCTTGAGCAGGAAGCTGTGTGCAACCTTTGCCCAGCCTAGGAAATGTCGGCCTCTACTCACCGGCAGCTCTGCCATGCCTCGCTGCTTCTTGTGCCGACTCAACAAGGGATTGGGCTTCCCAGCTACTCCATCTCGGTGCCGTCGGCTGGAAATGTGCTATGAAACAGAAGAGGAAGACCCAGATGTATTGATGCAGAGCGACCAAAGCATCTTGAACCCTTGATCTGATCCCCCTCCATTAACTGCCCATATCCTCAATCCAGTAATGTGCATGGATCCCACTGGAGCTGTTTCTGGGTATAGTTAAAATTTTGGTGGTGCAGCTTTACCTTGTTGTGCACACCTACGGAATACTAAAGCATGGGATCACACACATGCTCTCTCTCTCTCTCCCCCTCCTCCCAGATACACATCTAGTGTGAGCTTGGCTGGGGAATGTTTGGTCCTCAAGTCACAAAATCCCAGAGGCAGTTCCTATGGTTTCCCATACCATCCTTGCAATAAAACAGGGATTTCTGCTGTGTAATCCACACTAAAATGCACGCAAACTGTGCAAGAACACTAGTGTGTTCCAGGGATCAAATCTGTGTCAAAAACTGCCAACCCTTAACAGAGACCAAAATCTGTCGTAAGTCAGACCTTTCTCCTTGTCACTTAAGTTTACCTCAGGAATAGAATCACAGAATCACAGACCAATAAGTTGGAATGAGCCAAGAAGGCCATCGAGTCCAACTCTCTGCTCAATGCAGTAATCCCTATCAAAGCAGATCTGACAGAGGGTTGTCCAATTTTCTCTTGAGTACCTCCAACATTGGAATATTCACCATCTCCCAAGGTAAATGGTTCCATTGTCATACTGCTCTAACAGTTAAGAAGTGTTTCCCAATATTCAGCTTTAATCTGGCTTCCTGTAGCTTGAGCCCATTATTACATGTCCTGCACTCTGGGATGACTGAGAACAGATCCTGCCCCTCCTCTGTACAACTACCTTTCAAGTAGGTAAGTGCTATCATCTCCCCACCCCCAAGTCTTTTTTTCTCAAGCCTAAACATGTCCAGGTTTTTTCAGTCTTTCCTCATAGGACTTGGTTTCCAATCCCTTGATCATACCTCTTGTGCTCCTCTGAACTTGCTCCAGGTTGTTGGCATCCTTCTTAAAGTGGGGTGTCCAGAACTATAGATGAAGCCCCCAACCAGTGCTGAGGAGAGGGGGACTAACGCTTCATGGGATGAGGGAGAAATTTTGGTGTTGGGCTTGGGACTGCCTGGGTGCTAAACTCTTTGATATAAAAGCCCAGGGACATGATCCATTAAGAGCAAAATGTACTCTGCATAGCTTCAGATGCACTCTTCTCTTTAGCTCAAAGTTAAGCATTGTTTTAAAATAATAAATACAGTGGTGCCCCGCATAGCGACGTTAATCCATTCTGGATTAATCGTCGCTATCCGGAATCGTCGCTAAACGGAACTGCTTGGGACTGCCTGGGTGCTAAACTCTTTGATATAAAAGCCCAGGGACATGATCCATTAAGAGCAAAATGTACTCTGCATAGCTTCAGATGCACTCTTCTCTTTCGCCCATTGTTAAACATTGTTTTAAAATAATAAATATATGGTTTAGCACCCGGCGGCCATTTTGGAACCGCCGATCAGCTGTTCTAAAAACATCGCAATGCGAAGATCGGTAAGCGAAACGCTTACCGATCATCGCAATGCGATGTTTGCCCATTCAGAACATTGCAATGCGATCGCATTAGCTATCCAAAAAAATAGATCGCTATGCAGATTCGTCGTTAAATGGTGCGCTCGTTATGCGAGGCACCACTGTGTATGGTGTACAAGATTTGACAGATGGTTGTCCAATTTTATCTTGAATACCTCCAGTGTTGGAGCATTCCCCACCTCCCGAGGTCATTGGCTCCATTGTCGTCCTGCTCTAATGGTTAAGACATTTTTCCTGATATTCAGCCTAAATCTGGTTTTAGAAACAGCCAGCCACTCTGTGTCCTATCAGACCTGCTTTCGAGGAGCAGGAGGGTCTCCTCCAGGAATATAAGGTTCGCAGTGTGGTGAGAGGGTTTGCTACCTGTTTGAGCTGAATCTCCGAGTTGACTTTGACGTTGCAGATTTCACAGTGGAAGGTTCTCTCCTGAGCACTAGGGTCTTGGCTGCCTGGCTCCCCTCCAGCTGTAGGGCTTAGGCGTGGATATGCCTTGATGGGCCCTAACCCACTGCGTGCTTCCAGGATAGTCTTGTGCTTTGTACCTAAGCAGAGAGCAAGAAGCAGTTCTGTAATTGTAAATATTTAAAGCAGCTACTTGGAAACTAGCTATTAAATAAGATATCTTCTTACTGTTGGAAGCTAGGCGCAAAAATGCATAATCACAACCTAACCTTCCATAATACAGGACTTGTCCCTTTACTAATTTACAGTTTTGAAAATATGTAAGATAAAGCCACAGAAAACACCATCCCTTTTCTAATATTTCTTTGCTCTTTAAGGTAACAGTGGTAGGAATGTAAGAGTATGGACCTTTCCATGGCCATATCTTCTTTATACAACCAACACTCTAGGGCAGTGGTTTCCAGCCTTGTCCCCCCAGATGTTCATCAACAAAAGCTCTAGAAACCTTCACCACTGGCTGTGATGGCCAGAATTTCTGGGAGCTATAATCCAAGAACACTTGGATTGGACATAAGGTTGGGAACCATTGGGGAACACATTAGCTCTCTACCATAGCAAAGAATTGTATCTTTATCTTTTTAGCCAATGAGGGTTAGAATCAAAGGGTAATTGAGTTGGAAAGGGCCCATAAAGCCATAAAGTCTAACTCCCTGCTCAATGAAGGAATCCAAATCAAAGCAAACCAGACAGATGGCTGTCCAATTTTCTCTTGAACTGAAGCGCTCACCAGCTCCTAAGGTAATTAGCTCCATTGTCTTCCTGCTCTAACAGTTAATAAGTGTTTCCGGATATCAGCCTAAAGCTGGTTTCCTGTAGATTGATCCCAATGTTGCGTGTTGATATCATCATCTTCCAATGACTGTGCACCAAACTGCTGTTCAGAGTCATAGCTACATTGTCATGGCAAATTTGGCCACTTAGGTGACAAGAGACAAAAAACATGGTCTGTACCTGAGGCTGTGGCATAAGCCCTTCATGGCAACTTAGATGTCCTAGGAGTCCTCTTGTCCTCTACAGAACCCGTGATATTTCACAACCACTTATTTCAGGGGAGAAGACGTCTGAAGGAAATATCAGCTCTTTCTGTCCCCCACTACCCTAATTTATAGGCTCCATCAATTCCACACACACCCAACTAGTTGAAATTAAATTTTAATCCCTGGAAGGAGGAACAGAAAGGGGCTTAACTCTTCCTAAAGTGGGCAATTGGTATCTAAACTGTACCACTGCAGACTTCAGGTGGAGGTTTACAAAGTAGAATCTGTCTATGATTTCTTGCACATGGAAAACCAATATAATAGACAGCAGCTAGAGTAAAACCGTTCTCTCTGACTTTTAGTTTTCTCTGTAGGCAGACTTTTTAAAACTTTTTATTCACTCATGCAAACACTTCCTGTTGTCTATAGTAGTTCAGCCCAGATACAGGTTTACCAACATCCGTGAGAACTAAGTCAACCCTGAAGGGTCAGGATGTGCTGGGAGACATTTCAAGGGTCTCCTTGACTTACAGCCATCCAGTCAATCTTGATAAGAGGAAAATGACTGTGCTAAGAAAGAGACACAAGACGCAGGCTCTGTTTTCAAACTTGCTTGTTATGGATATTTCTTAAGATAACTGTGATGGTCGCTTTAAAACAGCCCAGTGTTAATTTTGTGTCCATAACATTCCAAATTCAAGACAAATCCCCAGAAAGCAGGGCTCTGAGCTGTCAAGGATGCAAAAGTGTCATGAAGGAAAATCATAATAACTTTCTAGGCATTGTTACTGGCAAAAGGGCAAGGTCTACAGACTCTGGAGTGCTGAAGACATCTATACCACATGCCAAGGAGCCAGATCAAACCAGACTCCATGATAATAAACTGGACAGCTGGCAGACATCAAGAAAAATCTCCTGTGTCTGCGCTGAAATTGGGCAGCTTTGTATCAAAAAATATCTGTGGCATATGGGTAAACTGAGGGTCTTCATAAGGAAGCGCAAAACAATGAAAACCCATATTCAGGAGGTTCTAAATCTGTTGATTTTTGCCTAGAAATTACTGTACAATAAAATGAACATTAATTATTTTCAGTCCTAAAAATTATGGCCAGAATTTATTGCCAGAAACAGAATTTCATCTTACTAAGATATCCAGTCGATCAGGGTGTGCAGCTTTTGATCAGTCTTAGGCAGCATGGCCACTGGTGAAGGATGATGGGATTACAGGCCAAGCACATTTGTCGACTCACAAGCAGTCTATACTTGAGAAAGAGAGGTTACTTACCTGTAACCATGGTTCTTCAAGTGGTCATCTGTGAATTCACACAAAAGGGTTAACCCAGCGCCAGCGTCGGTCCTCTCAGAACATTCTCGAGCTTTAAGAGAAAAGTAACAAAGTTTAAGGCTGCCTGTACTGCGCATGCTCCAGACGCCCAAGT